CTTCGGGGTAATCATTTGACCGTAGTACTTCATTAATAAAACGAATCTCAGACTGAATGCATCCCGGCTGCAAATGGCTCACACCCGGTTTGATAAACATCTGACCAGGTTGCGTTTGTATTTCAAAAATGCGCATAATGTTCAACCCATGTTGCTTTGCGGAAAGCGTTTCTTTGGACTGTACAGTCATCTAGCTTTGATAGTGATATATCTAAGGCTAGTTTTACGATTTTCTCTAATTTGCAGATGAAACGAATAGCCGAATGACACCTGTTGAATTCGTCAAAAAGCTGTGCGTGGCTGAGGTGGGACTTACAAAAGTATCTTCGAGATATTTGAAATATAGGTGGAAACATCGTATTGCTTCTTTCAAATTTCCGTCATCCAGTTTGTCTGGAAAAATATCAGCTAGTGTGGAGACCTCATAGTTACGCCGTGGATTTGTTTGTGGAACTGGTCATTGTACAAAACTGTATGTTAACTGTGCATCTGAGAATCCGTCCCTTCAATTTATTTACCTGAATTCCGATGTGAGTGGGGTTTCGGATACTAAGAATTCACATATGTGGTCAACTGTCTTGATCAGCGGTAAGTTTGTAAACAAGGATTCCACGCCGAAGCCACAAATATATAGTCAACAATGTAGTTCAGAGCCCGACCGTTACTCACAAGAAAGTTTTCATTACCATTCTGTTCAAGGGCGACAATGCCTTGGATGTCTATCTAAAGGGATATTTACAACACCCTCTGCTGGTTCCCGCTCTAATGAAATTCTGAAAATGAAATGGATGCATGAACCACTTGCGTTCAGATTTCAGTTTAAGGAAAGGAACTATTCAACGGTTCATGATTTTGGCCACGTTTCATTCTTTGAAACAGGCGTTTTCCAAAATTTCTACTCGTATTTGATTATAATCGTGTGGCTACAATCCAAAATTCTTCGCGGTTGTATTTCCCACGCGGAATATGTAAACACATGCATAAGCATCAGAAAGGACCTAAGTGAGTTGTGGATCATGTAGAATCCGTTGGATCGGATTGTATAATTGTCTTCCTACAGACGTTTTTAAATGAACATCATTCCTGTTTTTCCTATCCCTTGGGTTGATCATGTTGCATATGGATACCCTTGACATGATTCACACTTGCTTGTTTTGTTAATTTTGCTCACAGATGTGGACTACCCTGGGTGATGGGCAATTCAGTAATAGCCGGTTTCAGTTTCAGTTTATTCAAACGTTAATCAGGCACGATCGTGTGGCGGTTTTTGTTGCATTATTTTGGCTGCCCATTTGGATGAAGGAGTCGAGGAATAAACGGAAGGGTAAAAGAAGATTTGAAGAGAAAATGGATAATTCCATTAGACTAAAGTTGTAAGAAAAGTGAGAATATATATGAACGCCACGGTTTACGACACTCAGTCATATCACTCAGTGTTTCCGACGATCGATTGCAATGATTCCAAGGTACCCATCCAGGGAGCCTAAAGCGACTTATATGACCGAGTCCATTGGTAAGGGTTTTTATACCCTCATAGTTAGTTAGTTAGTTATAGTTTGACCACCTTTGGTTTTTCGATCCGTTACCTGCCCCCGCGAACATCACGTGCTGTGGCAATCTATTTGGTGATATGGGTACCACATGCCCCAATCAACGTGATCTATGAAGGTTGATAATTCGTTCCAACGGTTAGAACTTAACCATGTTTAGTGAGTCCAAAACATGAAGACGTAACCATTTAGCGAATGGAGGCATCATGGGTCACCGGCAAATTACGTCTATTATGGTGATCCTAGCTTAAGGGATGACGCAAACCACTAAGCTACACGTTACAGTTTTCGGACAGCGGTAACCAATCAAGCATCCCAGGTGACATCAGAAAAGCGCGTTATAGCTACTAGACCACGAACGATAGGCCGACTGTACCGACCAATCAGAAGTCATGTTGCCCAGAGGCCAGAATTATTAGCACGTGATTGACAGAGGCTTGGGTGACCAATGAACTTCTTTAGTACATACTGTTTAAACCCCACGATTTTTTTAAATAAATGAACTGATACTCCTGTGGCCTTTTCCTTGCGTCTCGTTCACATGGGATACTGTCTGGCTAGTGCCAGTGTGATGCAGTGTTTACGTGGTTTCCCCTAATTTCTGATACGTGATTCGTATCTCGTGATCAGTGCGTACTGTAAATCCTACATCTACTCAACGCTTTCAATGTCATCCCCGAAGGTCACATCATACGCGTTCCGATCAAGGGCAGTTCACATACATACACACACAACCGTGAACTCACCGTGCACATTCAATTCGTACTTTGTATGTTGTTGTCTCCTGATAGAACGTGGCATTCGGGTTCAGAAACGGATCGTATTTGTGGGTCTCCTCGGTCGGATAGATCCGACGGTAGTTGCCCATATGACTCTTCTCGTATCGATCACTGTTTGCCAAATAACGTGCCTGTTCCTTTTCCGTAGCATCTCTTTGACGAACAGGTGCGTAAAAAATATGGGATGAAATAAGTTAGGGACGCGCTCATCTCATCAGATGTATCCGTGTGTGTGTGTGTGTCCGTGCGTGTATAGATCTGTACAAATCAGCTTGCTACAGTTCATCGGGCTTCCTAACGAGTACAAAAGGGAAGTTTCAAGTCGATTCAAGAACACTGGCTTTAGAATACACGACAGAAGGTAATGCACAATGATAGATTTCTCCGTCTCAGTGTGTAGTAAATTCATTAAAGGGTTATTTCTCGTACTCGATTATGAAATAGCCAGCATCCATCCATCCATCGTCACAAATAAAAGCCAAAACCATCAGTAGCATTGTGTGGATAATTGATGAAATGTTGATAACTTGAAAAATACAACCAATGACATGAAAGCAATTATGGTTTTGTGGTGACCTGTAAGTGTCTGGTACGTTTGTCGCGCTTGCCTGTGGCCGGATTGATTGGTTGATCGGTCGATCGATAGATGCTATCAGCTCTGCACGCACTCACACCATGCGAACTGACTAATCACAATATCGATCGGCTCCAGCCAATCAGATATTAGTATTGGACTGTTCCCAAACAGATTGATTTGTGGACTGTTTGAATGCCTGGTTGACCGCATTAGGATGTTGTGTGACGCTTAGGGTAGTATTGTCCTTCCATCCATCCTACATGTTGCCCAGTTCTTCTTGCTCACCGGCCTATGGACCAACTACATGTTTGCCCTATACAATAAACGTACCGCATAACTGACTGCGTACTTAAACGGGATACAACAGGCATATATATATATATATATATATATATATATATATATGCATGATCTATCCCACCTACAGACGATCGAACTATAGTAATGATTCAGAAATGGGCCGATTCCTAAAGGCCAATTCAAACTAATCTTCGTCGAAGTTGCAAATGAGATATTTGTGTCCAAAATACTTTTTCCTGTGTACAAATATATGAATGAAATAGCAAAATATTCTCACATACGTACGGCTGACGAGCAGCAAGAATCAAGAAATAGATCATGTGCTTCCAGGGAACTTTTGTCCAGTTATTCATATACGGCTTATTTTAATGGATATATGTATGGCGAAAATTGTTTATTCACACCTTATTCGGTTTCCGAAATGCAAAACGTCTATCTATATTACCTGGGCTAACCAGGAAAGCCATCAACCGGATTTCTTATGCAAGTTTTACGTTTCAACATTTTCTCGGATGCTCTGACATCTATCCATAGTCAGATCACTGTAGAGTCTGAATGACCTGAATAAGGTTGTTCTCGCGTTGTGATGCTATCCAACTGAATCGCTTCGGTTTACTTACTTCAAATCTTTCTTGGCTGTTTTTTGTAAAAGTCGATTCCGGATCCGTTTTCGCTCATCTTCCATGCATCTTTTCTTGCTGAGCATACTGAAGTGTGCCAAATTCAAAGTGTCCCACAACATCGCTTCTTTGATCTCCCGATCTAGTTTGCTGTCCGTGGTGAAGCTGGGCGAGTGGTTCACCTGGCAAAACAAAACAACATAGAGGGAACAGAAGCAGTTCGAGAATGATCTGAATGGTATCACGCCACACAAATTAGTTAGATAATGCCAGATTGAAGACGAAATGAGAAGACCGGAACCTATGAATCGTGTTGCGTGGTGAACAAACGAACTTGATAGGCCATAACTCTTTTGGTGCATCCATGTTTCAGCCATGCCATCATTTTCCTACTTTGTCGTATGTGAACTTCTTCGGAGAAAATCTGATTCACTGAAGCTTCCTTCCTAAAACTCGTCTGTACGTTTCCGATATATCAAACATTTCGAAGACCATCGTCACTAATTGTTGTGGCGATACAACACTAATGATTAATTATTTTTTCAACCGCTTCAGTTTAATGCAGGCGGGAGAAAGCCAATATTCAACTGTTCTTGCGGTTTCGACGGTTTCGACCTTTAGCGCTGACCTGTGCAGCTCTAAAGTTAATTGAAAAAACATGTTGAGTCGCTTACCATCAATTACCACAACCCAATATGACCCACTCCAGTTTGCATATAAACTGATCGACACTGGATGCCGTATCCAGTAATTTATTTAACAATTCAACCAAGTCTGTCCATTGTTTTTCCTGATTCCAGTAACATTCTCCACTTTGCACGTGACTTTAAGTTGTATATTTTATTCGATGTGGAAATATTTTTTACCTGAAAAGTAAGCATACACGCTGACACGAGTTATACACATACCAAATACAAAAAAATACAAAACGATTGGAAAACATTTCATTCTCTCTCTCGCGTGCGCTAGACTGATTCGTTTAGACAGAAACCCCTATTTGAGAAAACCGGGAGAAAAATTTGTGTACCAAATTCAGGACTTGCAGGATGCTTCAACGGGCGGAATGATTTACCGGGTTATTGTAAAGCGAAAAAAATTTTGTTCGATTGACTGAACAACGATCCTCAGCGAATTGCGGCCTGTAAACCTTTGACAACTGACTTGATAGAAGAACTTCCCCGCATAGGAATAAAAGCGAAACCACTAAAAGCAAACAGATGCTTTATTACTGCTTTTATTATTTGTCCATGGCTAATGTACTACATCAGTAACAAGGGCGGTTAAGGAGCCTAAATTGTTGGGACCGACAATCCACTCTATTTTGATCTTTTACTGAACGACATTTTTTCTTGTGTTGGTTTACTTTGTTTATATCGAATCACCATTGACAACAGTTAAGCGTAGTGGTGATACTAATATTGTGAAGCCAAACTCAGACGCAGTTACATTAAGCGCAACAGATACGGGTCACCAGCTTGATTGGTTTGTTTGGGTCTAGGGTGATCGGATACAAAAACAATT